TATATGATAAGTAATTTTTGGGGAATAAATTGTAACGTATTCAGACATCTACTTATTACAGATTTCCATTAAACTGAATTAAAGAACTATTTCAGAAGACATTAGGAGTTTCGGAATATGAAAACTCAGCTCTCCTTGACTTATGAATCTTCCAGAGCTAGCTGGATCTATTAGCCATTTGCATCTCGAAAGCGCAAAAGCGAGAATACTTAATATGAAATCTGAAAGCTTTTTCCAGACTTTCGTTTGTATTTAATCATTTTATTTTAATTTGACATTGCGAAAGGATGAATATTTTCATCCTTTAAAACATTTCTGCAATTTGCAGTATATGACTACGACCAACAACTGCGAAAATAAAGGCCAAGTAAGGGTGTGAGCATATATATTATATATATATAGACTTTGATATGTAGGCAATAAGTATATGTATACGCTTGGTATTACCAACTGCAATGAAAAGGGGGTGCACAACTAGATGTTCTATCAATTCCATATATAAAATTTCAAAGATCTAAAGATTATCGTTATGCGAGATATATACATACGTACTTACAGACGTCACGAAAAAATCCTTTTTGAATCCCTTTTACAATCCATTTTGGAAATTAAGAGTCCTTTATTTTATCCGTAGGTACAGACATCACGTAAAAAAATAGATTCGGGAATGAACAAAACGGATATTTCCATTGAAAAATTACACCTGAAACGTTTCGCATTTACAACAATTCCTTTACTCCGTATAAGAAAGTAAAAAAGTTTTATTACATATTAAACTGAACGAATAGGGTAAAATTGTAATTATGAATGTTGTCTGATAATATTTGTTGCCTTTTAATTTCTTTCAATACATTTCAGAATCTGAATACATAAAGTGCTTTTTAGAAAGAAGAAAATAAAATAATAAAATTGAAAACTTAGGTATTCATAAGTTCAAATCGTTGCTTTACATAATTATACGTGCAAAATTAATTGGACTAATTTTAATTAGAAAAAAAGTATTTGTTCCTAAAACAAAAGGAAAATTAGTATCTCACTTAAAAAGGTAGTACAAAGTCTCATTAAGAAATTTACGACTTCAAATAATAGATTTCAGGAATAATTATCATTAATTATCCCCTAAAACGAAATAAAAAGCTTTCGCAGTATTGCTTGTAATGCTTTACAAAATTCGATTCTACTTTATTAATATAATGAACAGGAAACTATAATCATGTATAACGGTGGAAAGCTGTTAATGCCAGATAATTAGCTACATATTTAGATGCATTCTTTTGTTACCTTAAGAAAAGAAGAATTCTTAATCGTCTGTTGATAGAAATTGAATGGATAAATTTAAAAGAATGAGTTCTTTAACCACTTATCGTGAAGTGGTTAAATAAGTTATTAGCAGACTATGTTTTTGTCAAAATTTCAGAATTTCCTTAAAATAAATTAAGAAGTCCATTTTAAGGAGTATAAAAAAGTACTATAAGTTAATTTAATGTATAAGTTTTGAGCTTAAGTGCTATTAGAAGACTCAAGTTTCCGTAATTTATATCAATACTTGAAAATAAATAACTCAATGTAGCCAGTTTATAGCTTTCTCTATCTTCCAGGGCAAAGTTGGGTTGAAATCTAAATGCACTTGGCTTCCACAAACTTCCATTCTGATTGCAACATTATATACTCCAGACAATTAAAGTTACTGCTTTGATATGCAGACCGGACGAAAGACGAATTGCTATAGCTTTATACCGTTACTGATATTCAATATTGAATAAAACTCAATAGCATGTCAACCAGAAAGTCAGTATTCGAAAATCAATCATCTGAAGTCTACTTGAATTTGGAATGTTCAGTAATGTAATTCACCAATTAAGTACCAATTCAATCCAATTTCTTCAGAGACTGTACTGGAAAACCTATTCGTATATAAATACTGGCTCTCATCGAAAATGACGTCAGTGTTTCTACTTGTAAGGTACAGAAGTTGTATTTACTCTCTCAACCTTGTTAGCCATGAATATTTTACCTACCTTTTTCTGTTGCATTTAGCATACATTTATTGTTTTAACATACAGTGCTCATTTGGAAAGGGTAATATTACTTTAAGCTTTGGTCTACATATTTATGTAATTTCTATATCACGTTTATCTTAAGATTTATACTTAAAAAATGGGCCATCTTTCAATATATTCTCTGCTTATAGAGGGCGCAGTTATAATACAGACGAGCGCTTCAATTTTCGGCTTGATGTACCCGAATAATCACTTGCATTATAGCAGATCACTAACGTAATGAATTAATTGGATCCTTTACAGGTTATGTTACTCGATAGTGTATTGCTTTCAAGTGGGTTATATAAATTACTTTATATTTACTTCCTATTTATCTTTGTAAATTCCTTGGAGTTGTAAAAATCCCTAAAAACGAAACTCTGTCATGTGATTTTCAGAAGCTATATTGGATATAACAAAAAGTCAACCAAGTGGATAATGATTTTTTCCCTTGTCCAAAATACAGGTATACTTCATTTCTATAATACTATGAACTATAATTAAAAAACTACAATTAAAAAAAAGCATAAGTTACGTATAGAAACTAGAAGTAAGTGTATCAATTTTCTTAGGACACGTAAACAATGCTTTTTTTTTTATCTTTCTCTATTTTTATCTCTCTAAATTATCTTAAGTTTAATTAATTAAAAGAAAGTTATTTTTTGTAACTTATAATTAATTGTCTTCTCACAGTCGTTGTCGTCATTTCCTTCCGGATTCATTTTCTTTAGAACTGCTCTTAGCACCTGGCCTTCATTATTATTTACTTTAAACGTTCTGAAAGTAAGGTTCTATTAAGGAGTAATTAAGGAAAAATTATGTTGCTTTCGGAAAACAATAAAATTTCTCTTGAAATAGAGTTGTCGACATAAATTATAAGCAACATTTAGGAAACTATTGTAAAACTAAGCATAAAATGCAATGATAATCGTTGATTTAAGAGGATTTAATGTTTTTCGCTGCATTTTGACTTCACTCAATATTACATCTTCACAAATTTCATATTTGAAATTTCAAAACGCAAGTTATTCTGAATTCATTCCTGACTGCTTTGGCTTACGAAAATATTAATATATACAAATCATGCGAATATAAAAGAATAAAATTTAAAACTAATTAGGAACCAGATAGTTTCAAAATATAGTAAGATATAAATCATAAGCTTAATTCAGCGATTTAAATATTTTATTGAATGATTTAATGATATTTTCATAATATATATTCAAATATGTTTCGTGCAAGTTAATTTTAGTTGACTACATGTTGAAAGGATGTATAACTGTAAAAACTTAAGACTTGCTAAAGATTTTATTAATTAGATCTACTTGCATAGGAGGTTTCAATTTGCCGCTTTCATTTGATTCCAAGATGCACCATTTTTCTTCTATAAACGTCGCTATAGAAGTGATGAGTTTTAGAATCACAAAATGTTTCAAAGTACTAAAGTAAGTGTATTTCTTTTAAGTACTAATTACTTTGAAATAATTAAATTATTCAGATTACTAATATAGACTATCATATTCAATAAACTGAAGTGAATTATGAAAGAAAAAAAATTGCTAGACGTATTTTAACTCTTTATTTCATAGCTGTTACATGTCTAGAATAAACAAATCTCCTCCTGTTCGTGGTAATGAAATTAAAGAATGCTTTTTAAAGTCGAATTAATGCGATATTTTCAGCAAAAACTATTAAAAATATGGGTGTTAAAATTGTATAAATAGCTTTCCTATTATATATGTATAAATTACCATACATGTGATTAAATGTGTGAAAAAAATAGAGTTATGTGTATCATTAATTAATTATAAACTGCAATATTATCGTTAAACTTTAAAGTTTAACAGTCTAGTTAATAGTACCTAATTTAAGAAATTATTTAATAGGAAATGACGGTTTTAAATCTAAACTGGGAGTTTTGAGTTGGTCTTGAGGCTACACTGAATTCTTCAAACAGTATGTCTCAAATATATCATAAGCTGAAATTTTATTTTCTATTTTCCATCAAATTTATTGCTAGAAACATATCTCAAGTTTCTATCGTAAAAAAAGATTACAAAATTTGCTAATAAAGTTATTTCAGTACCCAAAGTAAGCTAAGAAATCAGTAAGACAAATTTTCTTTGAAGAAGTAGCTAGTCCCTAGATATTAATTTTACGAGTGAATCAAAAACTGGCAATAATTCTTGAAAGATTTATTGTATTTTGTGATTATTGATGAATAATTTGTTTTGAAAGTTCCTTCGCTGCAACTCATCTCTTTTATAGATTTATTGACAGGACAGAAATAAGAGATAAATGGGATATTAGTACTTTACCACTAGTTACTAAATGGCAATCACTGCTCATTTTCAGTTACACCGGTTACTACTAAATCTCAACTAATTTTGAAAAGTCGCAAAGTAAAAATACTGCAATTATTGAAAACAAAAGATTATTGCCAAAGCTGCCAAATAAACATTTCACTAAAGTCGTCAATCTCTTACTCTTAAATGGAAATTAACCATTAAAATAGCTTACAGATTTAATGTAGTCTCAATAATCTTTAACCTTAATCTACATAATTATTTGTAATAAAAATAATTTATTAAAAGTTAATATTTGGCTTATAAATTTATATTACGTCAGTAAGCTCTTCGACGAACGTAGTTTAAATAAAGCATACCTAAAAGCAACAGAAAGAAAGAATATTCTTAGTTATTAAATTTTCATTAAAAGCATAGAATTTTTCATGTAAAACCATTTGAGGAACATATGCATTGCGAAGTTTCACGAGAGTTTTCTAAAAGAATCTAGGCAGTTTTGAATATGATAGAAACGGCCATGTAGTCTGTTTTTTTTTTTTGAGCTGTTGGAAATGATTTGCAGACAATATTGCAAGTGTTTATTTCACAATACAATTTTAAAATTTACGATTACAGTCATATTATATATAAGGAAAATACATTTATTTATACTTACCTCTATGCCTATTGGTCTGTTTATCAAACATGAGCATGGCGTCTTCAACCTAAAAATTAGCAAGAGAATAAAATACATTTAAATCAAAACTAAAAGTCATTGCTTTAAGGAAGATGAGAAAAGTATTTTTGTTGTTATTTATTGCTAAATATTTTATGTACTTTGAAAATGAAAAATTTATTTCATGCCTTAAAAAGTGATAGGAAGAAATGCATTAAATGTAAGTTAAAAATTCAAAAATAGCCATGTGTAAACATGTTCTAACATGTTCAAATGAAAACATGTTAAAATGTTACATGTTTTAATATGTTTAATAAATCTAGCAAATAAATATGTTCCATAAGTTTGTCCAGTAAGTAGATAGTATAAAAAACAGAAATCTCGATTTTCGAAAAATATTAATAAAAGAGCGTATTTAAAAAACACATAAGTATTCAATAAATGATTTAAGATAGATATAATATGTAAAAATAGTTCAAATATTTGTAATGGAGGTTTCATAAAATTATCAGAAACTTGCGTCTAATTTCTGTTTATTTAACAACTAGGAAAACGTGACATAATGGCTCAACTGATTTCGGTTTAACTTCACGCAATTTTACAAAGACTGTTCTTGTGAATAATTTTAATTAAAAATATAACTGAAAATCTTTGAAGCTAAGCTTCGAAGCTAAATTATCATCTGCAATAGTTTATAAGCTGAAAAAATAGCATGTAATAAATTTCGGATAGCAAGCCATGTTTTTGTAATTTTCCAAAGGAAATGTTTTCATTTCTTAACACAGACACAACGTAGAAGCCTTGGAATAAAAACATTTGAGGCATAATAAACAATATAAATAATAAGAAAGGAAAATTATTGATAACCAGTGATGCTATCTTCAGAAAATAGATTGCCAAACGTTTATCGAGAATGTACTTCAAACACCATTTCAGAATTAAATAAAGACCCATCTATAAATAAATACTCAACTGTAAACGACCAATCTATTCAAAATGCAACGTGAATAGTTTTTAAAGTTTGTGTTTCTATTGTTAACAAAATAATAACCAAAGATTTAATTTAACAAAGCAAAAAATAGAATGTTCATTGTTTTTTCAGAGAGTTCTAGTACAATCAGACATAGATTTGTTTACGAAAAGAGCTTGTTAGATGAAGAACGGCCTATTTGAATGAATATAAAAGAAAGCGATCTCTAGTTACTGCCGTAAAAGAGAAAAACAATACTTCCGAACTTAGTTTGAAAAGTTTAAAGAAAGCTTCAGAAAAGGATACATGATCTTAGATATTTCATTTCGCAGAAAATATGAACTAAAACTTGTCGAAAGAAATTATTGTATTAAGTTGTAGAGACATTAGTATTATATTAAACCAGGAGAGATGAAGAATGAGCAGTGCTTTCGCCGGGACTCGAACCACGGACCTCTCGAATACGCGCCGAGTATGTTGACCACTACACGACGAAGGCATGATAAGAAGGCGGGAGAAATACCTTATAAAGTAAATTCTTGGTATTATCAAAACAACATTGTGACTCCCACAGTTAAGAAAGAAATCTTTCTTTTTTATGTACACATTACGCAATAGACGTCAGAATTCACAAAGATAAAACCATGAATCACGCATCAATAGATAATAGGTCCCCACAGAATGGAATAAGAGACCGTGATTAAAACTTACACCTTTAACGCATTTCCGAAATCTTTACTCATGTGACAACGATGGATTGCAGCATTTTGGAGCTGTTAAAAAGAGACTTTTATACGTCGTCCATAGACAATTGATGAATTATGGAAAGCAGAACAATAGAAGTTGGAAGCAAATTTCACATTAAAATTAAGAAATTCCCTTTTATAGTTAAAATAAAGAATTACCAGGATTAATACTTAAAATTATTTGTACCATAAATAATTGTTTTGCTGCATTCAAATTATTCAAGAATTGTTCACACATCCTCTAAGACCTTATAAGGAAAGAATATACAAAAGTTCATCCCACGTTGCTTGGGGGGCAAAAAAAGGTCCAAACTTTAAAAGTCGCCCGAAAGGATTCTTTTAAAGTTTAATATGGGGTTTTCGTTAGAGATAATCAATAGAGATGGCGCAAGGAGGATAGCAAAACACTTTATAGGATACTTGATGAATATACGTCTATACTAACAGGCAATGTTCTATAGCTGCTGTGTATTTGAAAGTGAAAAAATCTATAATATAATTCTGAAACAATATTTGATATTTTTAATTAGATTTATCATGAATTAAAATAATTTTTATTTAAATCTTCTTGTTCTTAAGGCCTACAGCCTGCTACAGGCCAAGTCTGCCTTTCCAACTTTTCTTCATCTGACCTTACCCGGCGCCACAGCTTCCCACCGGTTTACCCATCAGTCTCAGATACTTTTCCACACTATCTAGCCATCTAGTGGGTACTTTTCCTTTTCGTTGCTTCCCCACTATTTTTGAGAATGTTGTCTTTTTAGTACAAAATGCATCATCATATCTAGAAATATGGCCTAGTCATCTAATCTGACATGCCTTTACAGTTATGAAAAAAATCAGGTTATTTCCTATAAATTTCACGGTTATATAATATTCTCCAAAGTTCATTTTGCCTCCACAGTCCAAAAGTCTTCCTTATAATTTTTCTTTCAAATATCAGCAGGAGATCTTTCTCTGTCCTGTTAAGTGTACAGCTCTTATCAATGTCTTATATCAACTTATTTTGGTTTTTATGCTAAGTAATCTGGATTTAAGTTGGTTTCTAAGTCCGTAAAGACATTGTTGGCAATAGATATACTATTTGTAATTTCAATTTTAACGTCGTGGTAGCTTCAAATCATTGTACCAGATACTTAAATTGTTTAACAGTCTCAAATGTATAATTTTGATCTTTAAAGGGTCCATGATTTTACTTGTCAACATCATAAATATTGTCTTATCCTCATTGATGGTTAGACCCATCTTTCTTGTTGCATGTTCCAGCGAGACACATGCCTCTACAGCAGTCCGTTTAGTTCGTCCAATGATATCAATGTCGTCGGCAAAAGCTAGCAGTTGAACTGTTTTATCTAAAACAGACATATTAAAAAGCAAGTAAATGTATTTTATTTCCGCCCGCAGCATTTTTCCGAATGGCAAGAGTCTCGATCGCTGGAAATTTATTTCAAAGCGTGTTGCCACTGCTCGCTTTCAAATCGTTAAGTTAATAAAAAGTTATCAAAGTTTAACAAAATATGAAATAAATAATAAAACAAATTCGAAATTAAAAATTAGGGCTTCCAGGTTCACATTTCTGGTGGAGGCCTATGCTATTCAAAATTTCATGGCTTTAAGTACCCTCGTTGTTTTCACAATGCAAGAAAAATGCATGCAGATTCCTCATTATTTAGTTTCTTTAAAAATAATACAAGACGATAACATTTGGTGTCAAAAATTTGAAAAACGATACGCAGATTACAGTGAACCGACGCAAAATCGCATTTTGATCTAGCCCCTCTAGAGTTAATGTAAAATTAATGCATTGAATAATTTATACTATATGTGAGATTAGGCAAAGTATAGCGCGGTTTATTGGTGACGAACCAATTATGAACTCCAAATGTGCAACAGTTTTCAGCTGAAAACGTGATAGTTCAGATTCTGTGATATGTAAACATTCAACAGTTACTTTTTTAATGTTTTAATATTTTTTTTTTTTCATTTATGAAAAAATTTATTCTTAAAATTATTTTTGTGCGACCAACAATTAAAAATGCCCTGAAAATGTTGTGCGACTTACTGCGTGTTTTCAACAAATTTATCATAAAAATTCAAAAAATAAAATATTTAAGGAATTTGAGCAAGAAATCTAATACAAAATTTACTTAATATATTACACAATATGTGAGTTTATGCAAAAGTCAAAGCATAGTATGGCCTAAAGTAACATACCAATTACGGACGCAAAGTGCGTAGTAGGTTATAAGTCGTAAATTCCAATTAGATATTTCTGGATTGCTAGATGAACCTGTATTTATTTGTATTGTGTTTATTGGAACTTCAGAAACATATTTCAAAGTTAATTAATAACAAAGAACTCTTGCAAATTACAGAGATTGTTAATAATGGTCATAAGTAATGCAAGAGTGATAAGAATAGTGATAAGAAAAGATGAAGAATATTCGTAGAAATTAAGTGTAAGGCTTAGGCAACAAAATCATACTACAGTCAACTAATGCGTATGTTTCAAACTGTTGCCACCAAACACTATAGTCGTGTATTATTTTTAAGGAGTCTTCGAAAAAGTTGAGAACAGAGTTGGCAACAGTCTTCGAAATAAAACATTTTACCTCCAGCAAGCGAGCCTGTTGCCATTAAAGCATAAATCTTTGTAGAGACATTAGGTTAATTGGAAGCAAGAGAGATTGAGAAATTAGCAACCGCCTTCGCCGGTAATCGAACCATGGACCTCTGGAATACCGGCCCAGCGTGCAGAACCACTACACCACAAAGGCACGCTAGGAAGGCGGGAGAAATACTTTATAACATATATAAAAGGAATCAGATGGAGAAGATAAAATGCCCCAAACCAATCTTTAACCGTGCTTATAATTGCCATGACTTACAAGAAATCAATTGCTAAATAAAAACTACCGGAGCTGAGAAAATTCATAAGGCTGAAGTTGTCTGTAAATTTTCAAAAACAGCGCCGTCAATAATGAGAGAATCTGAACTTTATTTTCTGCATCAACCCCCTAAACACGGTGTTTTCTTAAGGCATTTTCTTTCAAAATAAAACGACATTGAAATAATTAAATATAACTTCGAGAAGCATAATAAAACGTTTTGATAACAGAACCAAGACATGCGCCTTCTATTATGCAAGCACGTTATAACTTAAAATCACAATCAGCTTTAATGAAAGGACTGAAGACATCAATATATATATAATTTACCAAATTTTTAGCCTCGACGTTTCTTTATTTTTCAGAGTATAGCTAAGCTATTTACAAATAGTGTGTTTCTGTTTCTTCTAACTGTTTGAAGTTCAAACAAAATACATGGTCGATA